CTGGCATTGACTCTATCAACCTCGGGAAGCTTCTAGCAGCTTCTTGCGGAAGCCACCCTGCAGCTCCCCCACCTCCCGCCACCAAAATCCAACCAGGCCAACCCAATACAACACCTCACATAAGTCAGGATGCTAGTTCTAGAAGACGAGGAACTTGAGTCCGGGTTGGATGGAGGCTTGAGTCCAGTGAGAGGTGTCTCTGCCTATGGCAGGAGGGTTGAAAGAAGATGATCTTGAAGGTCCCTTCCAACCCAAATCATTCTATGATTCTGTGAATTGCTGACCATTTTTCCTATTTGTCAGGGTGTCACAGTCAGACCCCCCTGCCACTGTCTACCCTTTGAGGGAATAAGGTTCCAAGGTACAAAGTGAGGTTTATTGTGATTAGGCACAATTGTGGGTGACAATTGCACCACCACGCAAGTGAAGACTGTTGTGCTCCTATTCTGAAGTTCCTTATAACCTCCCTGACAGGTATCACTCAATTCCCAGGAAGGTTTCCTTACCTGATGTCTCAGATAACGGGACATCACCATGACACAGGAGGCTGTTCCTCAGGAGTGTTCACACCAGGCTCTCAGGGAGCAGTTCTTGTTTCCTTCCTCAGTGGTTCCTGTGGTCACTGCCCAGAGGTGTCATTGCACGGTTACCGGGCCAACAACCTGCAGAGCACACAGCTGCTGGGCAACTCTGGCCCAGTGCAATGAAGGATCAGACCCCAACCAATGCACTTCCACTCACTCCGGATCATGGAATCATAGAATCATTAAGGTTGGAAAAGACCTCTTAGATCATCAATTCCAACCATCATCATCTTCCCAGAGGGTTGTTTCGAATCTTCATACCACCTTCCAAAACACCTGCCTCCCTCTCCACAGCATAGTGTTCTCCACACATTTGTGACCAGCAGAAGAAGGGAGGTGATTGTCCCTCTGTACTCAGCACTGGTGCGGCCGCACCTTGAGTATTGTGTTCAGTTTGGGGCACCTCAGTACAGGAGAGATATCGAGGTGTTGGAGCGAGTGCAGAGGAGGGCAACAAAGCTGGTGAAGGGCCTGGAGAACAGACCTTATGAGGAGCGATTGAGGGAGCTGGATCTGTTCAGTTTGACGAAGAGGAGGCTGAGGGGGGATGTCATCATGCTCTACAATTACTTGAAAGGACATTGTAGAGAGGTTGGTGCTGGTCTCTTCTCACAGGTAATTAGGGACAGAACCAGGGGGAATGATTTCCAATTGCAACAGGGCAGGTTTAAGCTGTACATTAGGAAGAAATTCTTCACGGAAAGAGGGGTCAGACCCTGGAACAGACTGCCTAGGGAGGTGGTTGAGTCGCTATCCCTGGATGTGTTCAAGTGTCGTTTAGATGCGGTGTTGGGTGATATGGTTTAGGGGTGACCTTGTAGTGTAGGGTTGATGGTTGGACTCGATGATCCCAAGGGTCTTTTCCAACCTGAATTGTTCTATGATTCTATGATTTAATAAAAGCTCCCTTTTTCTGTCCTATCAGTCATATATTAAAATATTGCATAGACAGGCCCTTTAGAGCACTTCATATAGACTCTGAATTTGACGGGAAACACATAGTAGCAGATGTTTACTGTAATTTTTTTTCAATCAGTCTTACAGAGTCCTTCAGAGACCCTACACCGTATTTTTGCAATTTGGTAAAGAGAACATCATGCTGGCCTGTGTCAGATTGCTTACTAATGTCAACATGCATCACACAAATGTGTCCTTCTTGTCTGCTTAGTTATTGTGTCAAGGGAGGGAGCTGGATGATTTTGACATGATTAGTTTTTAGCAAATCCACAGTGGCTGTTTTGTATTATCTCTCTGTCCTTGAGCTCATACAGACTCATTGACATTTTGCTTCAGTGCCTGTTCAGAGCCCAAAGCTACACCAATGTTTTCGGTTTTACTTCGAATTCTCTTTTTTTCTCCTTTAGTGTTAGGCCCTCTGTCCTTGTGATCCCTGGGATCTCATCGTCATCCAGGATCCTGCAGTGGCTCTCGTTAAGCACCACTCCCTGCGTCACCAAATGTCACTTACTTTAGAATTCTCCAAACATCTCCCTGATGTTCCTATTCATACTCAGCCACCAAAGCGTCTTGTTCCTCACCTGATGACCTCTGCAAACTCATTGCATCTGTATCATGATAATGTTTTGAGTTTTCCCATACTTCAGAGGTCATTATTTTAGGGCGGGGATCACGTTTTCTTAGTTACCTTAGAATCATAGAACAGTTTCAGCTGGAAGAGACCTTGAAGATCATTGAGTCCAGCCGTTGTCCCAGCCCTATCAACCCACTAAACTATGTCCCACAATGCAACATCCACCCATCTCAGTATTTGTACAGCATTTAGTGCATTTGGATCCTGTCCATTACTGAGATCCTGTGTGGTATTGCACTACAACTGCAGATAGCTGAATTAGTTATAAATAGGAAACCACATGGTTATTTTCGAATGACAAACTAGGTCAACCTGCAGCTAAGTTTGAGAACACTTGATATAGAACAAACTTGATTTAGAACAAACACGTGACACAGACATCATAATTACTCCTGTAGCAAGCGTTATTAAGCAGAAACTCCAAGGTAGCGTTCAAACAGAAAGAAATCCAAATTTTGTCACATCCTGCCTAGGAGAGGGGGAGAAGTGACTTAGATTCATAATTTCCCAATGGAGCGGACAATGATAAGATAAGTTTCAAGGTCCATACACAAACATTTATTAATTTCTCATAAGATATAGATCAGACTCACGATAACCAGTTTTAGTTACCTGACACATTGGGGCAGGCAATATACTGTGACTTAATGACAAACAGCAAGAGGCTAGGCATACAACAAACTGCAGCAAACTGCGTGTTACGTAATGATAACAAAGAAAAAGGACATGTAACAACTTCTAACAGACAATGTCATACTTAACTACAAGAAAGAAACGTCAGCATAAACTAAGTAACCGGTATGATAGTCCTTGCATTACTTAGTGACAAAGGGGAAAGTGAGAGAAAGAGAGAGAGGAAGGGTGTAGGGGAGAGGGAAGAGAGAGAGAGACAGAGATCGCCGGTCTGGGTTCCTGCGTTGGTCCCACCAACGAGGATTCAACGTTATCGTCGTCTTTTCTTCTCCTCCTGCACTTCTTTCTTCAAGTTGTCTTCATTTCTGTCTACATGCTGCTGCTTCTCTTCTGCCTTGTGTCTTCTGTCTCTTTTGTCTGTTGCCAGACTTTTTGCTTTATCCCACCTCAATTTATACACACTTTTTCTATATGCAGACGTATGGTATATCCGGTAGGGAAGCAGGGCACTTCACTGTTTACAACTATATACAATTGCCTTGTCTCCATGGGAGATATGCTACGAGGCAAGGCCATCCTGCCTTCCAAGACTCCTTTCCTCACGCATAACTGGGCCAAGGCTGTTTGAGGCCTCTGGTTCCTGCTTCCCGCTACCACATTCCATTTGGCACTTCTCAGTTTGCCACTGGGGACCAGAAACTGGTCTTGTTTTTGACCGAGCTGGGGGTTTGTGAAATGCCAAGAAATGTTGAAGGCAAACATTCACGCATCTGCCCACTACAAATGTTCAATAGTACATCCTGAAAATTCTAAATCTACTCATCAGGTAACATCTGTACCATTCAGAGTAATACAGTACAGTTTTTGCATTTCCAAACTACACTAGATCATGAAAAATGTAAAGGGAAGTTAACTTTATTTTTTTTTTAGCTGCTTTTATTTGCTTGCTTGATCCTGCTACTGAGCAACAGGAAGAAAACATGTCCTGAATTCTCTTAACAGTGTAATAGCAAAAAAAAAGAGAGGTCTTAGCTGCTGATATAAGTAACGATTTTCCAAGAATAAGAAAATACTTGGTAAACTAATCTATAATCAATGCCATGTGGGGCAGGTTCTGGCCTACAGCATAGACATATGTATCACGGTGTCACTAGGTATCAAGAAGAAACCATCTGCAGTCATTATGAGTTCTGAACAATTCTCAGTCTAATATCAGACATGTGAAGAGATACAGACAGCTAAATCAAGGTTTCATCCTTCTTTGGCTTAAGGCACTGTGGCTAGATTAGCCAACCCTAAGGAGCAGGCTTGATGCATTTTCAGCTGACGTGAGTGAGAGAAGAGTGCGGCCCTCCATTCTGCCTTGTCCTTCTTAATTATATTTGAGAATAATGGCTTTTATAAATAGAATCCATGCTTGATGCCTTTTTCTAGATATCACACACTTCTTTGTCTTACTTTCAGGGTGAAGCAGGTCTTCCTGGTCTTCAAGGTGTACCTGGACTTAGAGGAGAAAAAGGAGACCAAGTGAGTGACTTTGAGCCACAGCTTGGGGGTTTTTTTGGCCATTTGGCACCAGGAGTACTTATCTTGAGTGTTCCTACATGATGTTCTTTCTCTTGCTTTGGTGAGCAGCTGGTTGGCATCCAGCAAGGTCACCGAGTAACCCTTGCAAAAAGGTACTTTACTGCCTAGTGACTGGTCATAGTTACAGTAGATGTGCCCATGAACTGTCTATCCTGAATGCAGAAGGTTATGGCTTGTGAGGCAGAAGAAGAGGTACGGTGTTTTTTAAGCCTCACTTTCAGAAAAAAAATACTTGATCTAAGAACGTTTTAAAAAAAATAATATTAGGAAAAAATATCACAAATCCTTCTTTTCACTGAACCCTGGAGAAGGCTTCAGATGGTTGGATCATCTTCTGATGGACTAACTTCAGCCCATGTCCTGGTGTCTGCTGCCCCCACTGGCTCGTTTCAGACCTCCAGGGGCATCTGCATACTGGGGAAGAGTTAGATCAGGAGCCTGGCAGTAAATTCAGCCATGTAAATGAGGCCTGTACTCCTGATAATTGCCTCCTTGAATGTGAGCAAGAAGGACCTAAAGGCAACTGAGGTCTTACAGTTCTTCTTGCTATATGTTTTGCAGAGCATGGGATATAGAATATATTCTCTCTATATATAAAATCATAGAAATGTAGGTCAGATGGTTCCTATGTGAATGCAGGTTAAACACATTCTGTGTATCATCGTCCTTGTTAACCTCACATTCTGAGGCAAAAAAAAAAAAATACCAGGGCAAAACAGAGCAGCAGGCACAAGGGAATGGATGATTCAGAAACATACACAAAGGTGGTAGTATGAATGTCCGCTTGGACTTGTAACTCCTGTTCTGGTGCCTCTCTTCTCCATCTAGAAAAAATCTGCGGTTTATAATTTGATCAGGCAGTATGACATGCAAGTGGATTTAGGACTGATGCTTTCATTTCCATGAACTTAATTGCTATTCATTGGCTTTTGAAAATAGTATGGATTAGATGAAGCTATCTCTGAAAAGTTACATTTTTCACTGATAGCACTACATCTTGGAGGACGGGTAAGATCATCTGAAAGTATAAAATCCCAGTGGGACTAATGCAATCAAATCAAACCATGGATGTTTCCTTCTTTCTTTTCCTGCTTTTAGGGAGAAAAAGGAAAAGATGGTCTCCCAGGATGGAAAGGTGAAAGAGGAGAAAAGGTGAGTTATGAAATGAACATGTTCCTCCTTAGACAAGAGAGGTAAAAAGGCAAGGGCACAGAGACAAATGATAGAGGAGAGTATCAGAGGAAGATTAGAAACACTAGCAGTTTCCAATCTTCCTCAGAAGTTTCTAGAAAGATTAGAAACAATAGAAACATCATGAGGATGACCAGGGGCTGGAGCACATCCCCTGTGAGGACAGAATGAGAGTTCAGCCTGGAGAAAAGAAGGCTCCAGGGAGACCTTATAGGAGCCTCCTGGTGCTTAAAAGCGGCAGCAGAAAAGAGGGGGAAGGACTCTCTCAGGGAGTGCCATCACAGGATGAGGGGTAACGGTTTCAGACTGAAAGAGCATAGATTCAGATGAGATAGTAGGAGAAAATTCTTTGCTGTGGGAGTGGTGAGACACTGGCACAGGTTGCCCAGAGAAGCTGTGGAAGCCCCCTCCCTGGAAGTGTTCAAGGCCAGGTTGGACGGGGCTTTGGGCAACCTGGTCTAGTGGAAAGTGTCCCTGCCCGTGGCAGGGGTTTGGAGCTAGATGTTCTTTCCAACTCAACCCATGACGTGGTTCTATGAATCTTAAGTTTCTTAAATGAGCCTTAAAAAAGCACAGATTAGAATTCATATTACTCCTACACTGGATAGGGTAACGGTAGAAATTAATTGACCTATGAAGTCAAATCAATGATAAGGTCATAAAGTGATAAAGAGAGCAAAGTGAGATTCCTATATGCAACAAAGCAAGGATAGCAGAAATTCTGTCCAGAGCAATGGGGCAAATTTTACCCACCAGAGGAGGGCTATGGGATTTTCAGTGTCACTGAGCTGACAGGTTGTCATTGGGTTGCATCTCATCTGGTAATGTTGCACCTTGTATCTGATAGCACTGAGGTTTATTTGGGCATCTTTTTATATCCTGTTCTATTTTTCTTCTCTCTCTAGGGTGACACGGGTTCTCCTGGACCACCAGGCTTACCTGGAACAGTAAGTAAGATTGTGTTCTGTGCTGTGACAATATTTAAGGCACCATCACAATTCCCCTCTGCCCCAAATTCCTCAGAAATAAAGCTTTTCTCTGCTTCTCTGCAGAGACTGTAGGACCCATTTACTCTGAGATTATTTCCCTTTGCTTCAGAGAAGCAATATCAATGTGTATTTGGTCCTTCTACTTTTGGGGGAGGTTGTGTCTTTGCCTCTTTGCAAACAGCATCTTTGTATGCCCTTGCCTTATGGTAGCCCTTGAATTTGTGGCTTGTTTAGTAGCTGTGGGATCTGTCTGAAGAAGATCGTGGCTAACAACAGGGAGTGCATTCATACAGATTTTCTGGGATAAAATCAATTTTTCCAGCTGAGACCGTCAGGATGGCTCTGCGCAGATACCAGTGAACAACAGCTTGTCTTCTTGGGGAACAATTCACCTTCTTCCAGAAAGAACAGAGGGTTCTGCTTCTTGTTGACAGGAACCTACAGGGTGGAGGATTCAGATTCAGCAATGCTGTAGCCTCCCAGATCCTCCATCACATACCGAGCCTTGGTGTGCCCTAGCCCCAGAAAAACCTTCTCATCTCAGATTTCATTGCGAGTTCTGCACAAACCAGTCACACCTGATTGCACATAGCTTTTCTGTTAGTAATAACAAAAAAACAACAAAAACCCTAAAGAAAACATCAATTTATTGGTTTAAAAATGAGCCTGCAAAATTACTTTCGGCAGCATGAGTATAATTAAAATGAAGTTCACTACAGGCAATTAAACCAGCATCCACTGAATGTAAATACATAAACCTCACTGTTCCCTCCAACAAAATCTGAGCAAGCAGCTTGGAGCAAGGCCTGGGAATAGATGTGTTCTTGAAATAGGAGGGCTGATCCCAGTCATAAATCCTATAAAAAATGGCAGATGTCCAGCTTTCAGCTTTGCTCGCCACCACTGGTTACAGCCACCGCAATCACATTATGGAGATAATTTGAATCAAGGTCTCTTGGTGAAAATCAAGTGCCTATGGATCTCCATGCAGCAGTGGGGGATTAATGTATTCACTGCAATTAGTTGGGCCTCCTTAGTCCGTGCCAAAGGATGCTTCACAGCGTTGTGTAGGAAGACTCCATGTGTATCACGCCAAAATGATCCAGTCACACCCCCAAGGATAAATGTCATCGTCAAGGTGAAGGCAGCCTGCAAACAGGGTACAGCAGGGCTGGATGTAGAGATGTGCCCAACTCCTCATGTTTCTTTTTTTTGTAGGGAGAAATGATTTCTGCTGTAAAAATAAGTGATGATTTTGACATGGCCTCGTTTAATCAAGGACAAAATTTTTCTTCCTGATTTTACCAGTTTTGATAAAAGACACTGCCTCTCTCCAAAAAACTTGATGCTTTTTTTTGTGGCTAGTTGTTCAGGATGACTCTGCAATCCCCGAGACAACCTTATTGAGATGTATGTGCCTTGTACATGACACAAAGCAGGGAGAGAACACACCAAGTTCAGCCACAGAGACAGAAAATTGAACAATACTGAAGATGGCTCCAAGTGGAAAATTGAGCTGGAGATTGCTAACAGTAAACCTGCTAACAAGGTTAAAGATTGTATGTTTTTTCATAGCAGTGGGACATACAGGATGTTTCTGAGTTTATGTTCATATTCCAAATGCGCTAGGAAATGTCTGATACTTGTAGGCTGTTTTCCAAACAGCCAGATGTAACAATGAGTTGTTCATTTATAAACCTGATGATGGATACAATCTGTAATGACAAGGAGAATACATAAGTTACTGCATTTCAAGGAAAACAGGCAGTGCTTCTTCTAACGCTCTGGTTTCTCTTCCAGACAGCCTTCTTCACCCCACACCCTAGGATTCCTGTAAGTAACGTCTGTCATAAACCCAGCCTCTGGCCTATTGCCCCTTGTATCTGATAGACACACAGCACGTTAGTATTTTCCATGTTATTTAAATGCTTACGGTGAAAATCTCAGCTTGAGGCTGGTTCTGGGCGAACTCACCCTTGTAACCTGTCATGATGAAAAGTCCATGGCTGTCCTGGTGACAGCAGCATCCAAACCAGTTGTGCCTGGGACAGCGTATAGCTATGTCCCAGCCTCTTAAATAATGTTTTAAAAGAAGTTTTACTCCTCACTTGCATTGCATAGTGGGAAATACCTGGCATTACCTAGGATGACACCACTGGTATGTGAATTAGCTTGTTAAGGATCAGGAGGCTTTATAGCATGTATAAATGGCAGAGACAGGCTGTAAGAGTGCCATTAGAAAAGAAAGTGTGTATTCCAGGTTCTTCAGAGGCTGAAGGAAATAGGAAGGTGGTACTGGAAACAGAGGGAAGTTTTCTTTGGTTCACTTTTCCTTTTGCCTCATACTTTGCTATGACATACTAAGGAAATATACAGACCAATGGCATCTTATGTTGTCAATCACATAAGAAGTTGTCTTTTTTGCTTTGGAGGCGTTACTTTTGTAAATGAGCTGCAAGGCAGTAAAGAATAAAAGACTTAGGGTGTGTCAACAGGTCAATGTGCTGGATGAAGGTGATGATACAGGTCTGCACACGGTGTTGCAAGCTTTGGGAGGAGAAGGGGGCCTAAGGACAGTTACCTTTGATTTGCAGCTTTACAAATTAAGGTGTCAGAAGCTAGTGATAAGCTTTAGGAGGGTGTCATGTGTTATGTTACAGAGGCTGCAGGAGCAGCAGGGTGCTGGAAGTTGTCACGCACTCTCCACAACACGATGCTTGCCATTGCTTTTCCACTGAGTATATGGTGTGTAGTACCAGGGAGCAGCTTACACAGGCAGAGTCAAGAAACACAGCCTGGCTAGGAGGCAGCAGCACCATTACTCTGTTTACTTATTACTAGTTAAAATCAGCCTGTGCTCTGAGCTCTGCAGAAACTTGCTGTTGCAGCCCGGGGGTAGAGGTGAGGGAGTCATTGTTTTCTATGGGGTGCACGGAATTTTTCGTTTATTTAGGCCAGTCCATTCAAATCATCAAGCATTTCTTGGAGGTGAAGTGTGCAGAAAACACAGTGGTGGTTTTGCTGGAAAAGGCAAAGAAAAGCAGCAGAACGGGAGATGGCTCCTCACTTTGCGTTCTGTCTCCCTCCGCAGCGGGGCACAGCCGAGCGCCCATTGCATTTGCTCTCCTTTAAGTGGCACAGAATTGACTTAAAGTGTTGAACAGGCACTACAGGAGGGCACTGCCAAGAGCAGATCAGGGAAACTAAGTGCTGGTTGGCATCTGCTGATGGCTGTTCACTGAGCTGTAGGAGAGAGGTGGGTGGCAGTGGCTGAGGTCCAGCTGCCAGGGGCAGAGGTCCCCACAGTACGTGGCACTGGCGAACAGGGTCAGCAGTCTCGGCAGGTAGTCGTGGGGCTGGCGAATCTGGAAGGACTCGCAGGCAGATTTGCTGGCAGGTTGAGTTACAAAATGCTGCCTCTACCCATGTTTGTGGCTGTGCAAGGGCGTTAGACCGGAATTTTGCTGAATTTTACCATTGAAGCCAAGTATCAGGGAAAAAATGGGAGAATATTCAAAAAAAACTTCATTGCTTTCCCTGTTGACTTTTCTTCCCCTTACAGACTTGTTTTCCGTGGTAAGATGTGCCCTTATTCCCACTCAGTAACACCATCCCTGCCTACACATTTATTGCCATATGTCTGTGCTCTATTGCTTCGCCCTCTCAAAAGGGTTTCAGAGCCTGAAATGTCAGGACACAAAACAACTTGCAGGCACAACCGTAGTGGTTTGTTGCATAAGACCCTTTGCTTGATCTACTTCGTGTGGTGCCATTATCTGTCTGAAGGCCACTAGATGGCATGAGGGACTGCCTGATGGAAAGTTGAGCTGACGGGGTGCTACTTGTAGAGTAAAATTCTTCCTATTATTTATCACAGATGATAATATTTATTCATAATGCATAATAAATGCAGACATAAGTAATATTTATGCAGCTACATTTATTTTGTCTGTTAGAGAGTCATTTGCAAATGGACTTTGAAATCCCAGGTGTTGCAGAAATGATTGGCAAATAGCTGACGTGAATAGAATTCAAGCTGATTTGTCTTGGGCTGTGCATTTTGACTGATGACTGTTCCTTGCTTGTGTATGTAGCTTAAATCACTGATGTTCTTACTTTTCCCTGATTGCATAATTGAAACACTTTGTGTGATAAATAATGAATAGGTAATGATTTCTGCTGCCTGTATACATATGTTCGTGTAAATATACAAATGTGAGTATTCATGCAGTGCCAGGTTTATTCCAGCTAGTTCCATAACTGTGTGCTGTTCCTTTTCAATCTATAAAAAGCAGAAATATGGACTCACTGATTAGTGTTCTAGAGCTCAGAACAAAGCTGATGAACTTCTATGCGCAAGCATCTTCAATTTACCGTAAGGAGGAAGAACAAGAGTAAATAATCCAATTAGTCGGTGATGATGGTCCATGAAATAACGTACTGACATTGCAGCGGAGAGCAGGGGTTGCATCAGTGTAGGAGATGTTCACAGAACTGGAGATCAGGAAAAGCTGCATAGTGCACATGGCTGGAAGTGCTCGAGATGAGACCCTGAGCACCCCTTCCTTATAGGTGGAATAGGGAACTGTCTGCATGTGGGATAATTTCCCCAGCTGTAGGATGACGTGAGGTCTGTGGCCCTACAGAGAGGTCAGTGCAGTGGCGCTGGTGCTTTTGCTGTTGGTCATATCATCTGGCCTTTCAGTACAGTCGAGCTGAACTGATCACATTTTGGAATGGTAAATTCTTTAACTGCTGGTCCCTGGGAAGGAAAACTGTTCTCTTTTTAAATTGAAATTAAATTTGAAATTTTTATCACAGCAGTCCAAGAAGACTAGACAATGATCTCCCAAGTCTTACTAAGCGATAGCAATTTTGAACATCAGATACAAATAACTGTTCATAAGAATCCTCTTTCCAAACAGGTCTAGTATGACTTCCAGCCATGCAAATAGCTTTTATTTCTCTCTTTGTCTTGTTTTTTATATCAGGGTGAACCTGGACCAAAAGGAGAGAAAGGAGATCGAGGAACGAGTGGAGAACCTGTAAGCACAGCCAAGTGTTTCTTTGGGTAGTTTTGAACTTTAGCAAGGAGAGGACATGAGAGTTGCCAGTTTTGGAGAGAGAGGGTGGGACATGCTCCTTCCACCGTTGGGATGCTTCCTTCATCAGAAAAGGAAACAGTGGTGCTGGCTTTCTACTCACTGTAAAGGAAGCTAAATGACTACAAGAATTTAAGCACCTAATTTATTGCTTTGGGCCTTAGTAGCTGAAAAGAGGGCTGTGGGGTTTGCTGGACAGAGTTTGGCTGGCAGTAAGGTTGTACAGGATTTATTAAGGGCTTTTGAAGTGGAGTGACCCAGCTAAATTGTGCATTTGGCCACTCCATTTGTATTCTGAACTGCTTTTGTTCTGGATGGAGCCTCCAGGGGGAAGAGAGTCCTTTGCAGTCACAGCCTCTTTAAAAATCACTCTCTCTTCTCTCAGTGGGAGGAAGGAGAAATGTCTCCTGCTCAGGAGCAGTTTCCTTCAGCTGCTTCACCTCTCCTTGTGGTTTTTTTCAGGGATTACCTGGAATCCCAGGTAAACAAGGTGTCCCAGGACTTGCAGGAATACAGGTAAGAGGGTCCATCCCTGAAGATCTTTGACATGACACGAAAGCCCACCTTCAGAGTCAGTATCACTGTAAATAATTCTTCACCTGTACACCAAGAGCCCAGAATGGGACAAATCCTCTGGACTGGGACTATTGTTTGTATTTGAGAGCTGCTGGCAAAATTTCCTCTGTGCAGGGAGACCATCACAGCTGAGTGGAAATGAAGGAGCTGGTAGGCCTGAGGATAGGAAGGAGTTTCACCCAGAGGAACACCTGCAAGTGCCAGCATTCTGTGCTGAAAAATAGCCTCCGAGCTGATCAGTCATTAGTAATTCGTGTTATGTCTCGGGGTTTTATTTTTATATATCATTTTCTCACTGCACAAAGAACTGGGAGCCACTTCCTCATCTGTTAAACTCCTCTGTGAATTGATTAACAAAAAACATTGCCTGGTGTGCATTCAGGCATCTTGAAGTTTGTTTTTTTTTTTGTCTGGTAGGCAGTCCCAACCCATCTCTAATCAGCCAGCATCTCTCTTCTTTCTGCACAGGGTACAAAGGGGCAGAAAGGAGCCCAAGGAGAAGCTGGAGCCCCTGGAGAGAAGGTGAGTAACTGTTTCCCTTGCAGCATTTTTCCCTGGCAATAACACACCTGAAGGGACATTGAAGTCAATAATGCCTTCCAGTAGCTTAATCCTGGGCTGCTTGAGCCCAGGAAACAGCTTGCAGCTGGCAGATTCGCTGCTGGTGGGCAAACAGGCACAGCTGCACCCAGCAGATCACTGCCCCAGCCAGCCCAGCTCCAAATTGTGCATCTTTTATTGGCTAAGTCTCTCCTTTTCTAATAAAGACCCCTCTTTTCTGGGTGAGGTGCCGACCCCAGGCATTCAGCTGCTGTGGGGAGCTCACTTCTCCTCAGCAGCCTGAATTAGGTTTTGATCACGGTTGGTTTCAGGCTTCTTAGTCCTGCTTTCTTTAACACAGTCTCATCACCAGGGGGATCATCACATACTGCTTTTTTGAGGCGTATGTTGGAGGGAGCGCTGTGGTTCTCCCACTGTGTGCGAAAGAACAGCAAAGAATTCGAGTCCTGTTTTATTATTGTGAGAGCGTATAAGCCCTTTGCGGCTGAATAAAAGGCCACATACTTTCTTTGCAAGCAGAGAAGGAAGACTGGAGAACTATTTGAAATAATGATTGAGAGAGAAGATGTTTGTGTCTGGGAAAAGGAGAGGATAACAAATCCAAATCAGGCGTCCTAGAATACTGATATTTCTCCTTCCACTTCTGTGTTCATGGTTTTCCTTCTTGGGCTTACAGTTAGAGATTGTCTCTAGCCGTGCTTTGACCCTAAACTTTGAACTGCTTGTTCCCAGCTCTCTTTCACTCTTGGTTGAAAGACTCCTTAATCTTTTTTAGGAAAAGAAAAGGGGAAAAAAAAAAAGGCAAAAAATGTCCCCCGTCCATGAAACCTATCTGTTGGCTTTATTTCTTTGTATAACCTGTGGGCTCTGATGATGCTGATGATATGGAAATACAGGTTTATAGAGTCACCTTTTTTTTTGCCATCTTTTCACAGTCTGACACTGCTCCAAATGTTTCTGTTGGCTCATAGACCAGTGACTTTATGTAACACAGTCCTGAGAAAACCTTTAATTCTCTTCTGGTGAGCCAAAGGCAACAGATAGACATTCACTTTGTGAAGAGCTGTGCTGTGGAAGATCTTCATCACCTCCCAACTGTTTGCATCATCCTTCTGCAAGATGTTACTGCCCAGCCTTTCCAGCAGAAGGGACTTCTGCTTACTCTAAGTCAGATGGATTATTTCAATCTGCTGATGTAGATGTTTTTAGATAGTCTGTCTGGCTTAGCTCTAGATGGATTAGGTATGCTAATAGAAGTCCTTGTCCTTGCAAAGCTGTGGTGGCAGGTGAATCCTAGCCAGTGCAGGGTGATAAGCAACTACAGAGGTAGCAACTTCAACCTGATACAGTCGAGTGTAGAGGAAAATGTCTAAATATAGCCTGGTAACCCCAAACATACATCTCTCTGGGCATGCAAATCCCCAAATATCTGTTCTCTCATGTCTCCTGTGGATTTTTGGGGACACATATGGCATTTCCCACCTTAAAAATCTTTCACCTGCAGGCAGAAAAAACCTGCAGTTGTGAACTATGATGCTGAATGGTTTGTGCTGTTCATCTGTTGAGTGTAAATGAATGTTTTGAGGTTTTGTTCCCCAGAGTAGAGAAAGGTAGAATTGTCAACAAAACATATTTTGTTGACCTAGATTTTTATTTTACTGATATATCAACATATTGTCCTCTGTTCTGTTGATGTTTCAGGCTCAGACTTTTCTTCCTGTATCTTAGCTAGAGTTAGGATTTATTCTGATGGAAGGTAATTTTAAGCTACCAAAGAGAGTCTTCATGCATTTTATATTGTTTCATGCTTCTTTACGCTACAAAGTCTTCCGTGAAAATGCTGGGTTTTGGCACTGTGCTTGTACAACACCTTGTCTGACACGAAGTTCAGTCTCACTTGGAGCATCTTGTTCCTGTGGTGGTAAAAGTTGTAAATTACATATGCACACACACTTTATTTTCTTAAAACAGGGTGTGACTGGAGCAGCAGGGCCCGCAGGTCCAAGAGGCTTGCCAGGGAATGTGGTATGTATGCATCACTGTGGTTGTTTTCCCATCTGCACCCCAATGACTTTACTATGTTTAGTTTTCCCTTCCACAGGGTTCACTCTCAGGTTCAAAAGGCTGGTTTTCGTTATGCTTTTTCTGTGGCTGAATTGCAACATCTGGAGGCACCTGGGAATGGTGTATCCATGCAACATATTCTCGTATTCATTTGTAGCAAGAGGGAGGCATGGAGCTGCTTCATTCCTCACCAAATTGTTAAAAGTGATTTTTGCTTCCAGCTCTTCAGGAGGAAAATTGCAATGTTTATCGTCTCTGGTTTTCTTCCTGTTGCCTCGTTTTCATTTGTCCTTTCCTTTTGAAAACATAAGTTCTTGTTTCAAAGATTGCATGGTAAACTCCAATTTTTATTTTGAAAGCATATAAGTATTTGATCCCACAGTCAAAGCCTTGAAATCAGTGCGATGTCCTCCTTACCTCAGTAGATGTTCATCACCATTATTAAGTTGTGCATGAGAGAACTTTTCACGTTTGCAAAAAAATCCTCTGGGCTAACTCTACTTCCTGCTCCATGAGTGTAATTTTCTTTCTTGTGCCTTGGGGTTTCTCTGGAGTAAGTGGAAGAAAAGCAGTTAGACCCTATGTTTTAATGCATTCAGGCACGGTGGTTTAGCACAGAGGGCTCTTTAAGGCAGAGTTTATTACCTAGACAATCCAAGAAATCATAAATTGCCTTTCTACTAATTGTTAAGATGGATTTATTTGCATTAATGTAGTGATTTAATTTCAAACTGAAAAATGTTCTTGAAAATTAAGACCTTTTCCAATTCCATATTACTTTAAGCAAACCTCTATACCAGTAGTACTAATATATTTCTTATAAAAGCTAATATAGTTGGAAATAATTTTTACTGGTACAGAAAGGAAAATAATTATTGCATCCATCCTGCGAGGAGGTCAATCCAATCTTACTGGGGCCAAGACATCGTTTCACATCTTAAAATGGAGTACCACTCCGTAATGTGTTTTGGTGAGTTAGGAAGTTACAGTATTTAATTTGAAGCTCTAAATCATCTTTATTTTGACAAGGAATCCTTTGAGATCTGCCAAGATGTGCAAAGCATTGAAAAGTGAAATAGAGGGTAAAATGAACATAGCTCTGTTTTCCGGTGTATAGCTTTGGAGAGCAGCACCCATAAAAAATTAATATTGTGAGGCTTTTGGTTTCTCTGATACAGAGGTGGTGACTGGGGGTTTGTTGGTAATAGATAAGGAGCTTCAGAGGATTTCATGGTATGAGGAAAATAGTTATTGGTAGAAGGAGAATGCACACATACGGGATTAGCTCAATTTCTACTTTTGCTGTTCAGCTCTTTTTTATATTGGAAAAAATCCAAAAGCCTTCTTTAAGCACTTGGTACACAGCTCTTCTGTGGTGTTCTCTGGATTACAGGTTGTCTGTACTCGTCCTTGAGATAGATAGTACTGACCCCACAGGTCTATCCATTTGCTCTAGGATCAAATACTGCCTAAAAAGAAAGTTTTAAGCTTTCAAGTTCTTTTCTTTCCAGGGTGTGCCTGGAGACCCTGGACCACCAGGAAAAGAAGGACAAAAAGGGGAAAAGGTGGGTCTGTTCTTTCATGGTTTTGTTTCTTTTCTTCTTGGGCATTTTAAGTAACTTGGAATAGAAGCAGTCTGAACTGGGAAATTATTTCGTAGGTTTGTGCACGGTTGAGACATGTGGCCTCACTAGATCATCTTGTCTGACCTACTCTCTTACATATGCTATAAGGTTTTCACCCTGTTGCAGTTTTATAATTTACCAAATAAAGCCACTGAGCTACGATTGGATACAGTGAAGTCACTGCTGCACATTTTGAAATTATGATCTCCTGCTGTCCCCAACGCCTGACGAGTGGAGATTTGGTGTTTTAAGTACCTCCTGTTCATCACTGTAAAATCCAAAGCTGGAAGAATAAATGACTTTTTGTGGTTAGGAAACTGAATTTTCTGCTTTCTTGATCATTAGTTCAGCTTCCCAGTGTATCCACACTTACCTTTTGCTTGCCTGGCCTGTTTTGTCCCATCTCACAGCAAGGCACTGAGCTTTCTGAGGGCAGGGGTTTGTAATTTGCTCATACATTACACAATGCCCAGTATGCTGGAGTCCCGATCTTTGTGTGATGGACCAGGAGTGATTAATGAGAAACATGGGTTTAAAAGGGGATGGATCCCAGCCCCTTCTGTTAAATCATCTTCCAGTTTACTGAGATCTACCTCAGCATCCTTTGACTTTCCTTAAGGAAAATTACAAATGCCTTGAGATTACTGAAGGAAAAGGTCTCCTGTAAAAGAGGGTTTCTTATGATACCAAGAGAAATGCAGATGAGGAGGCTAGAAAAAAACACATATCTTTCAGTCCCAGTGAAAGACCCAAGACAGGAATGGTCTTTGGCATTCTACAAAGAGTTTTGCTGGATTGTCTTCTACAGGGTGAGCCTGGAAAAGAAGGAAGAGTGGGTTCACCTGGACCAGCTGGTGAGCCAGGGCCTGCTGGGCAGCCAGGTTTGCCTGGTAAGGGTAAAGATGGAGAACAGGTAAGTAGCACACGCGAGCTTTGTGCTTGAATAGTTCCATGTGAGACAGACGAGCGCGAAGCTGCTGCAGGAAAGCGGTGGGTTTGTGGTAGAGGTCACAAGTGCTCACAGGCTGAAGACACGAAAGGCTTGGCTGGGCAGAATGGTGCAGGTTGCAGTGCCGCATCCGAAAAGCCAGAGAGAACTGAAGCCGCATTTCTGAATGTAAAACTCCCTTCAGATTATTTAATTTGCTTACATGTTGTCAGGAAAAGATGACCTTTAAAGGTCCCTTCCAACCCAAACTATTCCATGAATCTAAGGGGGAGCGGGGATGGGAAAGTTGGCTGCCTTGACTATCTCAAACTCCAGGCTCTTGTTAGGCTGCAGGGTGATCATTTTCTGGTTTTGGCTCTGTCATTTTAGGGGCAAAGGGGCCCACCAGGCTTGCCAGGACCCTTTGGACATAAGGTGAGCGTGAGCTTTATTGTGGATGGCTTCTCTCCATTGCTGGAACTGGAGAAAAAGTTACGGGGAAGACATGGTCTGTTTTTCACTGGAAAATAAAATCCGTGCAGCTTTCACTCAAAAATCAGCTTCTACATTTTAGGAGGTTCTTTTCTTTATATTTCCAATGTGTCCATAGATGTAAATATTAAGATACAAATTAGCTATGTTAACTTCCCACGTTTAAAATTTCTGCCAGCATTATGTCAATTCAACACAGACTGAGGGCTAAATGCACACTTCTTCAAGAAAACTGTAACTGGGGACCTTTAATCCATAGAGCCAGAGAGACATTGCGTAGCTAAAGGGTGATCTGCTCCCGAGACCGCCTGTCAGCCCCTCATGGAGCGATACGCCTTAGCACTCGTTTCCTTCACCTCATTCCAAGGAGGATGTGAATTGTTTTCCAGTAGGACCAGTTTGTCCTAGTTTACTCTCCCGCATTGTAGTTCAAGCAGAGACTAGCTCGTTCATGAGGTTAATTAACTTCTTCAGCTGAAAATAATGTTTATTCCCTTATAAACGGTCCCCATGTGTTGCCTGATCTAGTCGAGAGGTGACGTCCCTGGCGACAGGGAGGTGGGATTAAAATAATCTCTAAGGTCCCTTCCAGCCTAGGCCATTCTATGATTCTATGATAAATACACGACAAAGAGAGAAAGGAATAAAACAGCAAACTCCTTGGCTTCTGGGAGCATCTAGATTGTGCCTGAATCTTCAGACCTGTCAGAAATTCTCCTCTTTGAAATGACTGTGTCCTGATTCAGACGGAAAGAAGAATGAGATATTGAAACAGATTCTGTAAATGATAAAAGGAGCAATAGAGCAGTATGAGACTAGGTCCATCTAGGTCCCAAATTTTTTAAAAAAACAAACTTCTATGAAATGTTTTTATTTTGCTGCATCCTGTAGAAGTGCGTTATAGTCTGTTGTATATATCTGTGTCAGTTCAGAACTCTCACACAATAATAAACTAAGAATTAATATAAAAGTCAGGAAAAAAACCACTAAAAGAAATCTCTTTAAATATTCTATTCAATATTAACACAAGATGGTAAGAATCTTAACTGTGTGTGGTAAAATTCTATTGAACTTTTTGCATTGAAATTATGTTCTTGAATAAAATAAAAGATAAAGGATCTACTGGAGTATTTGAACTAATCAGAATACGTTTTCTCCCGCTGTCCTTGCAGTGTTGTTTCTTTGTAATATAAGATGTGTTTAATAAGGAAGAAAGAAATGGGAAAAATTAGAGGTTATTGTAGACTGAATTTTGGGTGGATGGAATCCGCGGGTAAGAATATTTCCTTGGTGCTTCTGTACACCTGGAAAAAGCGTAATAATAAATAACATAAATAAGATTCATTGTTAAAAGTCTACTGCCAGTGTGAGACTGAATCTCGCAACTGCAATGCAATCTATAAAAATCTTATTTAATTTCTTCCTGCAACACGAGAACATAAATTACATTTAAGTATTACAGTTGAATTCTTTCTTAACCCTCTGTCTACAAGGCCCATTAAACAGTGTCAAGTAGTTGTCTGTGCTCTGCAGGTTTTACTATTGAAAATCCTGTTTTCTAGAAGGGAGGTCTCTCCTTTTGTAGTACAGTCCTCTAGAGAGAGTGACAGAACTGTCACATTATTTTTTTACAAAGAATTATTCATACACTTCTGTGAGTAAGCCTATATTGATGAAGGAAATGATAACATTACAGTGTAATTGAACATCCCTAATTCTGTTTTCCCCAGACAAATGATCTATTTTTAGCAACCTATGCGGGTTAGCCATCTACCACAGAAACACAGAGAAGGAAAAACACCTTTTCTAAACAGTACACACAACCTTTAACTTCTTCTTCTGTTTCAGGGTGAGAGGGGAGCTCCTGGGCTCCCGGGACAGCCAGGAGACAGAGGCGTGCCAGGAATCGGGCTGGCTGGACCTCCTGTAAGTAACAGGTCCTGCTGCAACCAGTAACAAGGTGAAAACTTCACCATTGCCAGCTGGGAGCTGCGTTGCCCGTGTTCGGCTGTGCCAAGAGCCTGTGGGAGGTTTCATCCACTAGTCCGGAGGCTGCCATCCGCGGCTCAGATGGGAGGGCTCTTGATGCGCTCTTTAGTTGAAAGAAAAAGGCGGGAGAGTGCTGTAGGAGTGATTGGGGTCACTGGCTGTCACTCCTGACTTTTCCTCATCGTCTTGACACACAGGCTGTGGGTGTTGAGTCGAGACCTGGGCTGAGCCAGCAGCTCTCGTCTGCTGGGCCGATGTAACCTTGCTGTAACCCGTGAGAAGGGCTCAGCGTGCCACACGTGCCCACATCAGGGGCATACTCAGCACTCAGCTGAGTTCCAAGAGAGCTGTCGTCCCTATATTTCCCACAAATGTTTAGTTGGACCTCATCCAGCTCTGCCTCCTGCTCGGCCATGAGGCGCATCTGCCAGTCTGGTCTGGAAAGGCTGGGTTTTCTTGTGGCTGGGGTTTGATCGTTCCGGGACTTGTCATGGACAACTGCTATTGAGCTCAGGGAGATTTAGGAGTGCTCTGACTGCTCGGAATCCTTGCACTTAATTTTACAAGTGAATATGATTAGGAGGAAGCAAACTTTATTCCTATTTGTAATTGCTAGAGGACACCTGAGACTTTGCATTCTTTTGGAACCCCTTGTACGTGCCGTGTCACCGTACCAAGCACAGGCAATGTTTTCTTGCTCTGGTTATCTAGATCTGAGTTTCCCTATTAGTACAAGAAATTAATAGAAACAGTAAGTCATATTACTGTGTAACAGTGGTTGACAAATCTAGCTTTCTGAGGTGTATTTCCGTGTTAATATTTGCATTTCTCATGCTGAATATATAAGGTAAAGCAGGCTGGGTCAGTCATGTTTCACACTGTGACTGTGTCATGGTCCTCACAGGATTACTGATGATGGAACATTGGCTGGGTGTTGTTATGATTTATGTAAGGAACAGTGATCTTCTTGCATTTCTTAATGTTTCATTTTAATTAAAAGTAAAATGAAATGAACAAATTAGTATACGGTTTGTTTGAAAGTCACTGGACTGTGGCTAGCTTGTAATTATCACTTTTCAGGTTCAGTACAGGGATAGATGAGTTCACGTCTGCATCCTGATGTACAGTGGACGACCAAGTTTTCTTCATTGGGACTTTAGCATCTGTGTATCCATGAACAAAGATTACTAAGAACTTGACTCCACAGAAGTTTACTTTTTTCTGTGTCATCGTTGTTTGACCACTGGCAGGATGAATAGCCACCTACACACTATTCCTGATTGATTTGTTTTTATTTATTTAATCTGCTTCATTAATCACTTTTTTTGACAGCTGTTACGATGGTTTTCTCCACTGTAGGTTCATCATAACATCAGCTTCAGTGCAAAGACTCTGAAAAACATTGGATGACCTTGAATCCATCAGGCTTTCGCAAAGACTGAGTCCCATAGAAAAAAAAAAAAAAGATAAGAAAGTCAGGGTAGCTGCTTCAGTGCATATTACATGCTGAATTAAAGGTGTCATCCTATGCCCTTTTTAGCAATGTGACAAAATTGCGAGTATAATACTTTCAGCTTCAGAGCTGAGAGCCGGCAACTCATAATTGGAGTCCTCACCCTGTTTCTTTCTGTGCCTCTAACGTCTCATGAGCTTTGCTCCCTGCACAAAAGGTATATATAGATGAGGACTTTTTTGCTTTGTCTGCCAAAGTATTGAGTTATTATTTGCATAACACTGAGCCATAAACTATATATTAGCAGAGTGTGTTCTTCCTAGATGAGCCACAAGCAGAATAGGGGACTGCCTGGAGAAATAGGGTGAATTCACATGCTTATGTTGAAGTTGCTTAATGGATATTTGTGCTGCATACGTAGAAATGTTTTCCTCTTGCTCTGACCCAGCACCAGCACATGGGCCAGACCAGGGCACTGAGTGCCACATCCAGCCTCTCCTTAAACCCCTCCAGGGACGGTGACTCCACCACTTCCCTGGGCAGTGCATCCCAGTGCCTGAGCACCCTCTCCGTGAGGAAGGGCTGCCTGAGATCCAACCTGAACCTCCCCTGACGCAGT